AGCCATCGACGAGGATGGCTGGCTTCACTCAGGGGACCAGGGCAAGCACGACAAGGATGGATTCCTCTTCATCACAGGCAGAATTAAAGGTAACACATCCCCTGGCTGTCTTGATGTTGTGCAGCACTATGGAATCAGTGAGTTGTTGGTGTTGGGAAAGACCTCATGGAGCCCAGCTGTTCCCTCAGCACTGCCAAGGCCACCACTGAGCCATGTCCCCTTTTAAATCCCTCCAGGGACGGTGACTCCACCACTGCCCTGGGCAGCCTGTTCAATGTTGAACAGTGAAGAGAATGTTCCCAATATCCAACTTAAACCTCCTCTGGTACCAGGGACGCACTGCTGGTTGTGTGGTTGTGACTTGCACAGAAGAATATTTAAATCCTTCTCCTCCTGGTGTTTTCACTTCAATGTGGCTGCAGGGTGTCCACCCTGTGGTGGGAGGAGAGGGGCGGCCTCTGGAGCCTGGGTGTGTTTGCAGAGTGAGGGAGAAGCCCTCTGATTCCAGCACCAGTGCAGTTAGTGCTTTGTGGGCTTGTTTTACCAGCAGCTCCCCCGGTTTCAGGAGCTTTGCTGGGTGACCTCTGAGGAAAACAGCAGCTTAACACTGTTGTGCAAGTGCCTCATAGCCATGTGGCTCTTGGGACAGAGATTGAGCAACCCCAGGCAAAGCCAAGGTCACTGAAGCCTTCAGCCCTCCAGAGAGAGAGGTGCTCATGTGAGGGCAGCTCTAAGGAACAGAAGATTGAGCAGGGGGGCTCCCTCTGCTCTGCAGCACACAGAACCTCCTTTCACTTCAATTTCTGACAATTTGGGTGCCAACTTAGGAGCCTTAGAGGCCCAGGGGTCGGTGCCAAGGGCTCATTTGCACTGCCAGGCTGCAGACACCCCTGGAGCACCAAGGCAGCTTTGGCTGGCTCTGTGTGAGCAGCTCCTGCTCCTCCCTCCAGCCCTGCTGCAGTCATGGGATCAGCACTGGGGCTGGAGAAGCCCTTGAACATCATTGACTACAGCACCCCCAAGGCCACCACTGAACCACATCCCCAAGTGCCACATCCCCACGTTTTTCAGCATTTTTGGGATGGTCACCCTGTGACTTTCCCAGTCCTGGTGTGCTGCCTTCTCCAGCTCTGCTGGCACAGACTCACTGTTCCATCCAGCAGACACAAAGAGCAGTTGAGTTGTTGCAGACTGTGGGAAGGGGAGAAGCTCCAAGCATTAATCAGGATTTGATTGTTTTCCAGAGCTCATCATCACTGCAGGAGGTGAGAACATTCCTCCTGTTCCAATTGAGGATGCTGTCAAGAATGCTGTTCCCATCATCAGCAACGCCATGTTGGTTGGAGACAAAGCCAAATTCCTTTCTATGCTCCTGACACTAAAGGTAATGGAAAACAGGATGGGGATCCACCACCTGTGCTGCTGAATCTCAGTAATTCTGGGGAGGAAGAGTTGTTACACATTTTTAATGCCTTGTGGAGGCAGGAGCCCAGAGCACGATTGGCTGCAGCTGAGCTGCAAAGAGCAGCTGAAAGCACAGAGTTGTCACTTGCTGAGACCATCAGGCCCTGCTGTTGTTCAGGGCAGATTTTTCTGTGGCACAGAGGACAGGAAAAAACAGAAGGAAAGTCCCAAAAGTGAGGCTGGAAAAGAAAACCCTTCTGCTCTCCTCACCTGATTCAGTCTCTCCCAGAGCAGTCTGGGAGGTAAATGCTGTCAGGGATTTCTCTGTCAGACTCTGGCTTTAAACTGCACCAGGACACGTGGGTGGTGGCCTGTGCTGACTGTCAGAGTGGGAATTGCTCCCTGGGGCAGTAAATTGTGCTCCAGAAAAGGTCTGGAAAACAGTGATTGACTTTGGAGAGCACAGGAGGAGTTGGGCAGATGAGCTCTGTACCCTGCTGGCTCCTGGGCAGGCAGAGACCTGAGGGGGTTTATTTGTGATGTGTCCCAGGTTTCCATTGGCAGCCAGGGGTTGGAAGGGGGCAGGAAAGGGGCCCGAGGGGCAGGTGGGGTTGGAGGGGGAAGGGAAGGGACCCCAGGGCTGGAGGCTCCTTGGTGCAGAGGGCCTCAGGTGCTCAGCAATGCTCAGGTACCTCCTGTGGCCTGGCCTGCAGTGCGTTGTGGATGAAGAAACGGGCGAGCCCCGAGATGACCTCGCTCCAGAAGCTCTGGAATTCTGCCAGAAGCTGGGCAGCAAGGCCACCAAGGCCTCAGAAATCATCAGCAGCAAAGACAAGGCCATCTACGCTGCCATCCAGAAAGGGATCTCTGCTGTCAATGAGGGAGCCGTGTCCAATGCCCAGAAAATCCAGAAGTGGGTCCTGCTGGAGAAGGACTTCTCCCTCTTTGGTGGGGAGCTTGGTGAGTGGTGGGGCTGTCTGTGCCCCTTCCCTGCTACTGAACACAACACAGCCATGACCCCCAGTGCACAGAACTGCCCCCTGCCTTTCCTCTCTGTGCCTTTTCCATGTGGCAGTTTGGGGTGGGATGAACTGGGCTGAATTCCCACTTCTGCCCAGCAGCACTGAGTGGAGCAGAACTTACCCTTGTGCTGTGGTGCCTCTTGCAGAGTTATGGAACATCCACAGGGATCATCAGCCCAGCCCCTGGCCCTGCAGACACCCCAAAAACCCCACCCTGAGCACCCCTGAGGGCTCCTGCAGCTCTGGCAGCCTCGGGGCCGGGACATTCCCCGGGGAGCCTGGGCAGTGCCAGCACCCTCTGGCTGCTGCTGTGCTGCTTCGGCTCACAGGGGATGGGAGGAAAGTTCTATTAAACCCAAAGAGAAATTCAGAGCAGGTCCCTGTTCCCGTGTTCTGCCTCTCCCCTCCTGCCCTCTGGGTGCCCCCAGTGACCCTGTGCTGCTTCCCCACAGGCCCCACCTTGAAGCTCAAGAGGCCGGTGGTGGCTCAGAAGTACCAGGACCAAATCGCTCAGTTTTACACGGACATCGAAACCCCCTCGGGGGAGCCCTCAGCGCGGACACAGAGCCTGCACTGACACCGCCCCGCGGACACTCCCAGCTGCCCAGGAAGGATTCCCTGGATCCTGCTGAAATAAAGGTGCTCAGCCTTCAGGCAGCCCCTCGGCGTTGCATTGTTGTCCGTGCCCGGCCCTGCAGTGTGGTGAGCGTGGTCCTGCCCATGTTCTCCCGTGTCTCGTGTCCCTTGCTGAGATATCCCAAATATCTCAACTTTGTATTTTTTATTTCCATTTTTATAAGGGCGATACAATGTTTACCTTAAATCCACATGATGTGTTACGTTCTAACCAAAGTTTTCTTTTCCTGACATGAATGTAAAACAGGAGCTGCAAATCAGGAGCTGCCCTTTTTCTGCTAAGGGAGAAAGGCAGATTTCATTTTCCAGCAGCGTCCTCACTCCCTGCTGCACGTTCCCCTGCATGCTGATGGCATCCATAGAATTTTAAATCTCCTTCCCCACAAACTATTCCTGTCTGAGATGACAAATGCTGTGTGACTACACACAGCACTGGAGGTGGAACCTCACATGAACTGGGCTTGTCTGTGCAATATTTTGAGTTTGTTTTACCTTTTTTGAGTTATAATGAAGCCATAAATTGTATTGTTGAAGTCGTATCCGTGGCTGGTATTCTGAGAAGTGATTTACTCCAGGGATTATTTATAAGGCTGTGTACAATGTGTGAAATCTGTCTGTGTTTTACAATCCAGGAATGTTGTAGTGTCTGAAATGGGGAGCGCCAGAGTGGAGGGTGGGTGGGCTGGGGCTCTGTAGCTGTGCTTGAGGAGAGGAGATGGCGCTGGGAGCCCAGGCTGGTTCTCCTGAGGGTCTGTGATCATCACCCAGAGCTCTGAAGGTCTGACTGGAGGCCACAGACTCCCCACCCGCAGCCAGGAGCTCCTGGCGCTCTCTGCTGAGGGGCTCTGCAGGGGCTGATGAGGCTGTTCAGTCCCAGCAGGATTGTCTGTGAAAGGCTCATGGCACACCCGAAATCCTCACCTGAACAGGGCCGAGCTCTGGCTCCCAGTTCCATTCCCATGGAAAGGAGCACTGGGAGGAACTGGGGGCAGCTCAGGCGGGCTCAGGGCGGGTTAAACCCAAAACTGTCTCTGCTTTAGGTCAGTGAAATTCCACTGCCCAGTGGAAGGGTGGGAATGCACTATGGAACTGCAGCTGCCCCCGCGTGTGCTGAGCTGGCTGGAATTGCTGTGTCCAAGTGAAATAAACTCTGCTCGTGTCTCTTGACTCTTCTCGCTCCTTCCTGGGATGCAGCAGGCCCGGGGCTGGGGGGGGATTGCCTCGGGCAGGGAGAGCTGAGCTGTGCCTGGGCTGTTCCCAGGGCTGGAGCTGCTCCTGGGCAGCCACAGAGCCCAACACTCCCTCGGGAAGGGATGGACAGTGCCAGGGCCGTGCCCAGAGCTGGACACTCCCTTGGGAAGGGATGGACAGTGCCAGGACAGTGCCAGGGCTGGACACTCCCTCGGGAAGGGATGGACAGTGCCAGGACAGTGCCCAGAGCCCGACACTCCCTTGGGAAGGGATGGACAGTGCCAGCACAGTGCCAGGGCCGTGCCCAGAGCCGGACACTCCCTCAGGGGAAGGGATGGACAGTGCCAGGGCCGTGCCCAGAGCCGGACACTCCCTCGGGAAGGGATGGACAGTGCCAGGACAGTGCCAGGACAGTGCCCAGAGCCGGACACTCCCTCGGGAAGGGATGGACAGTGCCAGGGCCGTGCCCGTGCCAGGCCTCTGTCCTTGTGTGTCCCCTCAAACCCCACGGAGCTGCCCCAGGCAAAGCCCTGCTCCAAGGGCGGGGATCCCTCACCTGAGCAGACAAAGCTCTGATGGATCTGATGGATCAAGGGACATTGGAGCCACCCCATGCTTCAAACAATTCCCTTTTCCTTGGCTTTTCCTGTCCCAATGGTGTTACCTGTGCCACGAGGGGAGGTTTAGGGAAAGCCACAGTGCCATTCCTGGAGAAACAACACAAGAACCAAAAAACACTTCCAAGTC